TCAAGAAAATGATGAATTAAATTAAGGAGACAGGCAATCATAAAAGCTTAATTGCTGTCAATTTGATAGTATTACTAGACTRTCTGATAAATGACTGATGTAAAATGTGAATCTGTAAATTCTGTATTCTAGTGACCTYGCAACAATGGATGAGAATGGATATGTTAAAATTATTGGTCGAATCAAAGTAAGTACAAAAGCTCCTCTCTAAATACTCCGCATACAATATTACCCAATCAGTGACAATTACTTTTAAAGCCTTTTTTACACTTGAGTATAAGCAAAGGCATAAGCCAAGAACAAATAAAAGTATTAAGGAACCTAAGAATAGCTATAACCATAAGAACAGGAAGTCTTATTAATACCTTCTTATCCAACAAGCTATTGTTTCCCCCTTATAGTTTGGTGAAAACCAGACTTATTAGTGTGTGATATTGTATTTGTAGGATGTTATTATCAGAGGTGGTGAAAATATTTACCCTACAGAGATTGAACAATTCTTGTATAAACACCCCAAGATCCAGGATGTGCAGGTAATTCAAAAAAAAAATTCAAAAACGACAACTGAAGACCGCGAAAGAAAAGATTCAAAGCCTCGCAACTTATTTGCGCAACATTGCTGCTGTTCAAGTTTGGCAACTTATCGCGCAGAATAATTATCAGAAGCAATTTTTCGCGACAAGCTGAGGTGATTTGCAATCTCGTAATTTAGCGTCAATCTTATCAATTACAACTTTTTTTGTTTCCTTTGTTCTTTTCACTTTCTTTCTTCTTTCTTTTGGTTTGTGTTCGGCCTTCTGTGTSTTTCCATTCTTCCTTTTTATTTTATCCTTTCTTTCCTTCTCTATCTCCATTTCTTTTGTGTGTCATTTTCCACCCCATCAGTATATGTTATGTTATTAGTGTAAATTGTTTCAAATGTTTATATCAATATTCTTGGTGTCCTTTAGATTATCGGCGTTCCTGATAAGCGAATGGGAGAGGAAGTCTGTGCATGCATCAAGTACGTTATTAAAGTTTAGTACTAATTAAGTATAGTAGAAATAAGCGAAGGGTGAATAGCGCTATCCACCGGATAAACCTTATCTAGGGGATGAAATCCATACAAACTTTATGGAGTGGACAAGACTAAATAAGATTTTTGTGTTAACCTTTGGCACTACCAGCCCCTGCTGTACTATAGTCACATCAAAGCATATTCTTGTGTTTGAATAGCTTTTGTCAGCAATTTCTTATCCAGTTTCATTCTTTCAGATTACACGCTGGTGATACAGCAACGGACGATGAAATTAAACAATTCTGTAAAGGGCAGGTGAGCTTATACACTGAAGATTTATTGTTCCATAAWAAGATCAAAACTATATTGCAGTGTTGTATTCGTTTGAACCTTTGCAAAACGTGTAAAAAGACAAAATAACTATTTCGGAGTAAATAATTTGAAAACAAATTCAAGGTTAGTTTTAATGTCTGCCTCTTTTTAATAAAGCATTTTAATGGAATGCAAAAACAGTCATAGCTTGCCGACAATGAGKAGAACTGTGAGATAAGCGCCTTTAGTCTCTCGGTGGCTTGTAAAAAAGAAACATACTGTCATCATATTCAATGTACGCATTTATAAAAGAAACCTTTGTTTGCCCGTCGACTAGATGACGGATAAAATGTGGCAACTGAAGCTTTACATTCAGTTTTGGCCCGTCCGCACGATTTCGAATGAATCCGAAAGAATATTCGACTGAAAGCTGAGTTAAATTGTGGACGCGAACGTTTGTCGGCTCAAGTGTTTTGTGGTTTTCAATTTTATCTGGCATTGTCTGGACGCACCCTTTATCTCAGTACATGTGATACAAAAATGATTGATTTTCATTTTGCTTCTCATTTATAGAAGTATTCCTTKAGGAAACAGRTGTATCTACGCGCCCTCTCAGCAAAGTGTTTCCATAATGCAAATTAATTCAGTTGTTTCCCTTGCTTTCAGATTGCGCATTTTAAAATTCCAAGATACGTCAAGTTTGTAGATGACTTCCCTCTAACTGTCACCGGAAAGGTATAGGCTCAAGTAAAACTCTGACTCTCCTTTCGGTTGTATAATATCCATTCGATAACTCCTCTTATTCGCTATTCTCTTGGACAACCATGGCTSTTTGATGACAAGAGATGGTTGTCATGAAAGATCGGTATGRTATATGACAGCTCTTTASTGGGAGGGCATTGTTGAAAAAGTGTCTCAAAAATGCAGACACTATAAGGAGAGRTTGATTCAAGGGTTAGGAAATTCCCATGGTTCCTATCGGTCTCATAGGACGACCATTTCTGGTAGATGTCATTGATTTGCTGAATTTAGTATCGTTAATTGAATCGGTTTCTCTTTGAATATTCACAATGTTTATAATGAATTTTTGGTTTGCAGGTCAGAAAATTTGTTATGAGAGAAGAAATAACTCGCGAACTTGGTTTATGATCAGGCCACATGAAACTCCAAAATCAAAAYCTGTAATTGGTATTTTTCTGTTGACATCACAACAGCCATGTTGATGGTACTTCCACTAGATATCTGTCTTCATACTGACAACATGGCCTCCACCCATTTGCTGCAAAACCGTTGACTTTTGTTTTTTTTTAAATCTTGGAAACCAGCAATAAATACTGTACCAGCAGTGGTTTATACAACTGTTAAAACTATACTTTTTTTTGGACACAATGCAAAGAGTTTACTAAATCGTGATATTTACACAGAACAAATGACTGCAAACGTACTGTAAAATATATTACTGTAAAAACTRTTTTTATAAAATTCCACATTTATAGCGGTTGCACTTTTTTTTTGTCAATTATTTCAAGGTTAGTTAGCTTTCCTGGCTATTAACAATTCGAGAAATTCTGTAGGATTTTAAAAGAAAACCACTACGTTCATAAAAATGTCAATCAAAGAGAATTAATATTACTAGTAAAGCTTGAAATTTTGTAATCAAGCTCTACTTTTTATTCTCTACACATGTAAAACATTGCATGATAGCTTGGTTTAGCAGTCTTTCCAATCAGTCCATCAATCAATTTTAATCCATATATCAAAAGAGCCTGTTTTTTTATGTAGAAGATTTTGAATTGTTTATCGTTTTTCATAGTAAAATCCTTTCCAAGGTATAACTGCAATCTATTTCTTGAATACCCCTGTAATAGGATCTCAGGGGAGTGGTTCAGACCACCCAAAGAGGGGATGCATTCACGAAGGATCCACAAATTAGAAGAAAATATCAAGATCGAAGGTCCCAGGAGGGAGGGCTSACTCCATGAAYCCACCATGATCTGGATCCGCCACTTGGCTGTACAGCATGATTTTTGTCGAATAATGGAAGACCATGCGACGATTGTTTGGTATTATGTATATGAGACGAAAATTACTTTGTTAAATAATTTAGAATGCTTTTTGGAATTAACTATTTATTGAGTGTGCTTAACGAGCCAATCTGTCGGGTGAACGCWTGGCTTTATACTTGCACTAATGGATTCTCGACTATCCATTAAACCATATTAAACGTCACAGACATAACACTAGTGGGTATTTTTATAACCTATTTATCAGGTATCAGAAGTTTAGGTCGAAAGAAAGGCGTATTACAAGAGTAGGAGAGAGAAACCGGAAATCAGTAAATAAACAAACGAATGAGATATTGAGAAAATGAAAATGACAACGATGATGGGAAATGGGAAATCATTTTTATACGTAAAAGCATTTGTCATTAATAATACATAGATATTGATTTAAGGCAACCTTGCTGGCGATACTTTTTATCAAAAAAACATGCTTTACTACTATAAAGGGAATTACAACCACGGATAGAACAAACTTTTTTTGTTTGATCGTATTTTTTTTCTGGATAAACTTGGCTTACCAGGGGTGCGTCGCCCATAAAACAATTGAAGGGTAGACCATTACATGTGTAACGATGATTACAACAAAACCAGCTTTTATTCAACTGTTTATATTTTAACCTTTTGTTTTAGCAAACAACTGTTTATATGTCTATTTGTTACAATATAGATTGCCAATACATTTTATTTTTAAACAATGAAACAAACTCACCATTCGCTACATTGAAGAGGTTATAGTTTTAAAATCAAGTAGTCTTATTCTTAAATTTATCGGCTTAAAAAGAATTGACAAGTGGGCTAAATGAATCAATATGAGAAATAATGGAGGAATCTCTTGAGATATTAGACAGATATGAGTGAGTAAATGTCGAAAGGTATAGGAGATTCAAGAATATGCATGATTGTAATCCTMTTAGTGACTTTAAAAGAAAAATACCGATGACAGTRGGTAAATTGCTAATATCGCGGCAACAAATTCTCACTTTTAGCTCATATAGGATCTAGTTTTTCAAGGGCTACTTAAATACCTATATCACTGATTCACAGTCAATTTTGGAATTGACTRGATTTACTAACGAGTTTGGCCCAAGAATTCAAACCTTTTGAAATGAAAGGGAAAGTGGGACCATTAAGTGCTAGGTTAAAACAATCAGTGAAGATGGCGAAAATGAACTTGATCATTTATTAATCCACGGTGCCATCGAATCATTTCTTATTCAATTAGAATTATTTCGGCTTTGTCTGAAAGAGTTACAATTGTAAACTCTTAAAAAAAGAGAAACTTGTTTAAAAAAATAGAACCACAAAATCAAAAAGAAAAAAAAAAAAGAAAAGGAAAGGAAATAGAGAGAATATACTGAATGAAACTGATGTAGTACAGTAGTTCTCTAAGAGAGCTAACTACTATGGTGTTCCAATTAGTAAGTGAAACTGATGTTTAAGAAAATTGACGAGAGATTGAAAAGGAGCTGAAAAGTTATTAACATTTTTTAGCTAATTGAGAACCTATTTTTAGGCTATCACACTATCACTGCCTTATACTCTTGGCCAGACAGCGGTGGTAAGTTGTCAAGCTTACAGGAGCCCAATTGTAAATAAGTGACGAGTTTTCACACTGAATCAATTGTTTTCCTCTCCTCATTTACCGCATTCATTATTCTATGCAACCCGAATGAACCGCACAAGAACTGTTTTTCTCATATTGAACGTTCTAGCCACAGTCATTGGTCAATAGMAAACGGCTGCTGTTGACTATAAGACCTTCTATTGTCACTGATAGTTCATATAAAAATTAAAAAGACCGCGGGTCGTAAATGGTATTGATACAAGATTTTCAATGCGTGAATTAAAAWATACTTACATCTCCACCATGTATCTACATGTCTTAATATAGAATACAACCACAACAAGGAAACTGAGCTACCTGACGTCATCGTGTATAAACGGACATAATTGACCGACCACACCCCATGCGCTGTATGCGTCGCGTCGTGTTAAGAATAAGATGCTTGACAYGATTCCAATCTGTTACGTTATCATTAACGGCATCCTTTGAGTGCAAACAATTCTRAAATCCCTCAGTTCTCGTTAAAATCATTTATTATGATTGATACACAGTAGGGAGTCATTTTGTTTGGTMGAACTTTTGCAAAAATTGAAATATCTATACCACTGAATAAATGGCAGGGAGGGGGTAGATTCAATAGCGTGACTGTATTGGAATGAGAAATTTAGATCAGGCCATTTTATTCCACGTTCATCTTTTTAATATTGTCGGCAAATCAAAGAAAAGAAATCCTTTAACATCAATAAGTACTTTTGGTGAATGTGCATAAGATTTCATCATGCTTGATCAGTGGCCAGCGATCTTGTTTTAGCCGAGATAACAGCATTTTTTCAGCGAAATCAGCTAGCCTTTCCCAAAAAGCAAAGGATGGCTTCCTTGTAGGTACCAATTACCTTGAAGACAGTTTTCTTGACTGATAGATCAATAGTGCTATTAGCACATAGCCGGATTTCATGCTTCGCCTATTAACTGATCAACTGCGTGCACTGAATATTGAAATAAATTGGTATTCGGTGAGATTTGGTGATTTTTATCACGACCAACAGTGTTGTGCGTTATCATAGAATATAAATTGGTCTTTTTTTACATTTCCATCCCTACTGTTTTTATTGCTCTATTGTAATAATTAACAATTTAGACTTTAGTTAAAACAATGAGGTGTATAAAAGTTAAGCACGTACTTCACTGGTATAGTGAGGGATGGTCCTTCATGAACGCCCTCCTCACCTCCGAAAAAAGAAAAAGAAAATGGAATTTCTTGACTTATTTGCCCCTCGATCGCCCTTAGCTATTGAATAGTGTTTCGTAGTGTCCGTGAATCAGTTTATATGAAGAGCGCCTTGAATATTTGAATAGTTCTCGTCTAGGAATAATAATTGRTAGAAAAAGAAAGAAACAGCTGGTCATATTTTTCCCAGGCCCCGAACAGGTTTCCAATGCACTGTGAAAGAGCGGATTTTCAACTCCTCAAATCGTCACGCTCTTCACTCACTTTTAAAGTGGATTTCAAACTCCGAAAATAGTTAAAAGTGTATCATTATTTCATTCAACGACTTCGGATCTAGACGTAGGTCTAGATGGGCTGTACTTGACGAATTCACAAAACAACTGATTATTTGCTGAGCGCTGATTGGACGAGTTGGTGTAGTGTCACTAACACTACGTTGGGTCACAAGTGATGCGCATATACAACAAGTCAGCACGAGCGGTTGACTTCATTCTAGTTTGAACACAGTCATGTCGAACGCAGATTATCAGTCCTTGACATTTATACATTTTAAGAATTCTGGCAAAGAGAAGGTAAGAGATGATAATTTTGCGTTGTTATATCTCAAATTCCCACTGGGAATGTTTTGTTTTCTATTACAAGCACTCTCTCTCTTAGGAATGTTCCAGAGTATTTGTTATCTTTATGTTCAAAGGGTGTTTCCGTCATTATAAAGTGCACACGTTCAACATTGTTGTTCTACCAGACGTGATAGTCATGATCGACTTGAGTCAACTATCAAGTGATCTTTTACAAGCGTAAAACGCGAGATAAACGCGTACAATTTCAACTGATTTACGGCGCACCAAGAGCGGCATCTTATGCTTTGTAAATCTTTTCGGTCCAGTGATCTCAGTGAGAACTTAAATACATGGCAATTTATGGAAAATTGTAACAAAGCGGAATTCTTTTTACAAGATTTCTCATTATCTGTCTTTACGCCAATATTTACGGCCTTAGAACTGGATAACGTAGCTGAATTTATCCCATTCGGGCTAAATAAATACCAAATTTTGCGAGCAAGCTGTCAYGAAGTAAACTATATAACTCTGTATAACTAGTTGCGATCATGTCCAGTTTTCGCCTGCCGCTATTTCTTCCTGTCCTGAAGGCAATTCATAATAGGTCTAAGATTTTGAGACTTCATGAATAWAGACTGCATATTTTTTATTTCGATTGATATTCGGTATCAAGCAAGGTCTGTGTAGATTGCATCAAAGATCAAAATGGTGCCAAAGATTTCACSCTTATTATTTGTATTTCTTAAACTAGAAAGTGAATGTGTTATATATTTTAAATATTTACTGATGTCATATCTATAGGTCGTACACCGCCATAGTAATAACCCGACGTGTTTTTGTGATGGATCGAAAAATACAATACACGTTCCACAGAAATATTCAGAAAATTATAGACTTTTATCTATGGATTTTCAGATATATATTTTTAAACGGGATTKCACACTAAAATGTAACTATCTTTGTCAATGCAGGAGTTTTGTCGTTATAATTAATTAACAATTTTAAAGAACAAGAATTCGAATATGTTTGCAGATGACTTTGGTGAACACACCAAAACATTGCAGTTGATCATACTGTTCTTCGAAGCGTTAAATAATTCTAAAGCATGCAATGAGTTTTGCCATGCGGTTTTATTCATTTAATGGGGTGTTATCATTTTGTTCTACCTACTCTCCTGAGAATTTATTGATTGTCTGGAGCCAATAGACATGACTACCAACTCTTAATTCTTGGCTCAAAATGCAGGATTATWTAGAACCCTAGCTCTCTGTATGWACAACTGGATTCTGTCAGAGCGACCATCTTAGGATTGATTTAGTAGCACTACTAAGTCAGTCTAATAGATATTTCTATTGGTTTAAAGTGTAGTAGTTATACCTATTCATCATAACTTGGAAAGGAAATAGAAGGAAACTGCACAGCTGTAGACAATAACATAGTTTCTGTTTGTCAACATTGGGAAAACAAATCATGGAATTTGTAATAGATTATTACTTAATGGTAYTGTACAATGTAAAAGGTGGAAGCTAAATCTAGTTTAGGAAGATTTTCAAATTATGTTTTGATAGATGTGATTGATAAATGACATTTTACTGAAAGATCTCTTGGAAATAAATTAATTTATTTTCGTCAAATTAATTCATCTCAATTGAAAAGAAATTGCCAATGAAATGTCTATTTAAGTTTTGTGCTTGAAAACAGAATGGTGTGAAGCCCCAGTAAGTTTACTGTATTCTATGAAGAATAGTAGTAAAGAATACATATTTTATTTTTCCTGGTTGCTTAGTAACCTTCCAGATCCCATACCATCTAAAACTAATAAGCCTATATCTCTAAATCCCATGCCAGCAATATATGATGTGATGTAATTGCAGATGTGGGTGGATCTATCTATATTTTTGAACAATATATTCCCTGTCATAAAGTATTTCTAAATGMTAAAAGGGAGATTTAACGTCAAGATTATAGGAAAAATGTCAAGCTATTTCACTGACATTGGATTTTAGATTATACTTGGTAATGCTAGCAACAGCACTCTTAATGAGTGATTAATAAATTATAAAAGATTATTATTTTAGGCATGTGTCCTAGATTACTTGAAGACTAAGTCAGTTTTTTGGCTTTCTTTCAATCCAAAACAAAAACAACTACAATACAATAATTCAGTGTAGACCATGTAGACTGTCATTGATTGGATTAACTAAGATAAACATATTTTGCACTTACCAAAGCTTAAACCCTGCAAATAAATTGATATCTTCTCCATCTCTTTAATTATTGATATAGAAAGACCAGCCCRTGTCATTTATACAGATAAATCCTTATCTTTGTTAAGGTATTGATTTCTTTTGTGGGTGACATCCAGACTGATCTGTAATATGAACAAAGATGATTTGATCATGTTTGCCCTTGCTACTTTGAAATTTTATCAGGATTAAACTTTTTTATCGTACTATTATATGCACCTAATTTTGTGGTCTTTTCAGGATTAGGGGTTTTAAAAGCAATCTGCCATTTTTTTTTTTCACTGCAAGATAACGACATTGACATATTGCTCATCATAAAACACCTCGAGGCCTATTCTTTAGTATGAACCTAGATTGAACTCRTTAATGTTTATGGATTTTAGTGACAGTTTATGTTTTTTTTGAGATTTTCCTACAATAAAACAGACCAAGATCTTCTTAATAAAGCATTGAATATCAATTTAATGCTTGTTTGATTTCATGGCATATTGTTTTCCCATTTATAAAGAAATATGTCGTTTATGCAGACATTACTTATAAGACAAACAAGGTTATGTTAATATAATGCTTCAGGTTACTGCATGAAATCACTCAATTGTAGTGAAAAGCATGCTTACAGTATTATGGTTCAACTGCTTTTTCTCTCAAAAAAGTGCTATCTTTTATCTAGTACAAGATAACTATAATGATCACATGACTGGTTTTGTCTGCATGGTGAAAAAAACAACAACAAATTTTAATGAAAAAGTTAATGATTGGATGCTCATGATTTAGCAAATTAATTTTCATCATAATTCTTGCAGATTTAAGGTTTCCTAATATTTATTATAAACTTCTTGTTTCTTTGTTTATCAAGAAATCAGGATCTGCTAAATAAATGTATTGTCAATAAAACATGTTGTGTATTGTTGSTGTTTTGCAGACCCAAAAATACATTTATCCATCTTTCTTGCCCTGATTAGCTATACTATATCATAATTATATTGATTATTTGCTGATTTGTTGTTTTAGGAGCCTTTAACAACAGAGGAATTAGAAGGAAATTCATGTTTGCTGTGTAGCTCTGCATGTCATGGCTATACAACCCAYCCATGGAGGTGAGCTCTCAATCATGTTGATTTGTATTTGAGATCATTTTTCTTTTTCTATATAACTTAAAATCCTATGGCGTTATGGTTATATGATTGGGTTGTACAATTATTTATAAGGATATAATTAGCTGGTATTTACTTGTAGACCTTTTCTGCTCTGGTTGTGCAACGGCCACAGCATCCTGTAGCTATGTATTATTCAAGATTATTATTTTTTCATTGTTTAAATCTTTTCTTACTTTTATAATTTTGCCCTTTAAAATGGGTTATAGGGATTGAAATAAATTATGCTTTGGTCAATTTTAACAATAGTTACTTTTAATGATAAGCCTCAATTTATTAAAAAAATGCTCTCACTTTGGTGATGGCTTTTAATTTCCATGAACAATAAATGTTGTTTGAACCATTACTATATACTAATTAAATTATTTACAGTGTTATTAGAAATGCTTCATTAAATCTGAAAGGGTCATACACATTCATTTTGATGATAATGCTCCCAAACACTGCACCCTCAACTTTCTTTATCAAATCAAGGGATGACGGGACACAACAAATATAGTATAATTTAAAGGGACACTGTCAATGGATGACATGCGCAGTAACAGTCTCACCTCTAACGGACTTTGAAAGTATAACCATTTTGTGGTGCTTTTGACCCACTTTGGAATATTCTAGATCTGTTTACGTTTACGATCTGATTTATGTCACGCCAACTTGGAGTCATAAACTTGAAAACACTAGCCTAGTGTTTTCAAGTTTACTCGCGCATGTCATCCATCGACAGTGTCCCTTTAAGGTACATGTAGTGGTACATAGTTTGAGGTACACAGGGTATAAGTGCATATCAACTGTATCCTCAGRTTATTCTGTAATCATACAACTGCTTTAGCAGCATCCACTATTTAAAACAGGATAATATTATTTTTGTTATTGAGAGTTCACAGCTGGAGTATTGTGAAGCTGGAACATTTTGTGAAAAAAATGCTGCTTAAGCCTGCACGTCACCTTATGACTTAAGGATATAATATTCTAACTGCTKCTGGACTAGGAAATTATTATGTTGCCTGCTAGTGAACATTCTCAGCAGGGGGYAATAGCAAAGGGCAATAGCAATAGTCACTGGCAAGAATAGAAAGGAGCACCTATTTGAAGAAAAGCATTTGGCTTGACTTGCCCATCTTTGAATGACAGCTGACAATCACTCAAACCTCAAGAATATGAWTAAGTACTGTTTGAAAAGTGTTGATTGAAATAAATAATATTAGTAAGCATAACTTAGAGATCATCTTTTGGCTGTCTACAACAGCAATTAGGTCAATATAAATATAGTGTGTTGACAGTTATCATCCATTGAACAAAGCTGGAAACTCAATGGTTCCATGTGCTGGAACCACATGGGTCTAAATTGTTTGCAATTACTATGCAAATATTTCAAGTGGTAATAAAAATTTTCCTAAACAGTGTTACTTTTCAACAATCAAATAGGACACTTCTTTGAAATAAAGCTATAATATATGGCTTTATAGCCCATAGAGCTCCGATTTTGCTGTTTAATAGAATGGAATAAAATGTATATCCACATAGTGTTTTAAAGTACTGAATTAATTGATTCAAGAAAAATCTAATCGGAATGTGCACTTTATCATAATTATACAGTACAAGATGTGTAGATGTGACTCTAATTTAAGGATAATTATCATCATCATCATTATTATTCCTCTATTCAATATAATAATAATTTTATAATTTAAGTATAACAGAATTTTCAAAAGATGATTTGTTCTGTAATTTCATGTAATTTTCCCCATGAAGAACTTTAAATCCTATTTTGAAAGAATGGAATTTTCTAAAGGTGTTTTTTTCTTCTGTTATTTTGATAGGAAGTTTTGCAATTCATGTAATTGTCCCCAAGAACTACATGTCTCACAACTAAACAATGAGAACAACAGGCCTACAGACCGCATGTGTATCGAAGCAGAAGACCCGCCAATTATGTCTGGCTCAGATTTATCACAAGCCAATTTAGARGGCTATGAATGGRTCCCTCGAGGCTTGAGTAGTGAGCAGGTATGACCTTGCAAYACATATTTGACCTAATTGATGAGGTCTTTATTGTATTGTTATTTTAAGATTTATTTCTTATTACCAAGGGAGTGTTTGTAAATTAGAACAAAATTGTATGATATTTCATTTCAAAATTGTAGATGTGAAAATGCATTTGATATCCCACCTCTAAATAGTACAGAAAAGTGCATCGTCTCTAACAGAAGAAAAGTCATGAAATATTGCCAGTGAAAAGAATTCCAAGAGTACCGACTTTGTTTGTAACCTCAAAAAAGATTCTTTTCATACCAAATCAARAAAAGGAATTGAAAAAATTCGAAGCCAAGCTTCTAGCCGACAATAGGTCTTTCAGATCAAATCTGTAGGATCTGTAGAGTTCTGCCATTTTTTGGCCGATTTGTCTCCGAAATTAAAGCTACCACCCTATGTAACTTTTAATATAAAGACAAATTTCACAAACAATGTTAAATGAACAATATTTGGACTTCAGATTGAAAAATTCATGCAACTGCTACCTCAACATCTTGTTCCAAGAATAAATTCTGTCGGTGCCAAAACACGAGCCAAGATGCTAGCCATCCAAATACCTTTACAAGATTTTTCTTCAAAGCATTGTAAAAAGCTCACACTTGACCAAAAGATGGCTATGGATGATTTCAGTGAAAAAAGACTAAAAGGAGCTCAAGGAATAGGTAAGAAGAATCACTAAGAAGCAGGTTCGTTTCAGTGGTCAAAATTTCGGCGGGAAAACTTGAAAAGGCGCCGGCGCGCGTCGTCGCATGCGCAAGGGCGCACGCGTTTCAAACTTTTTCCCGCCAAAAGTCTTGCGGTATAAAGTTGACCTTGCGACGACGCACGACGGCGCCTTTTCAGGTTTTCCCGCTGAAATTTAGACCACTTAAACTTTTTCCCGCCAAAAGTCTTGCCGCAAAAAGTTGACCTGCTGGGCTTATATATATAATATATATAGGTCCTCATCGGCAGGACTAGACTCTTAGTCTCAGATCTCTCACCCTCACTTTGTTACTAATAAAAGGGATCGCAGAAACTTTTCCCTACCATCTTACGCATTTCTTGACTATCTGTTTTCAGGAGAAGTTAATCCATCTTTATCACAAGATAAAWCGTGCTCGAAATGCAAGGAAACGATTAGTTCTGGAGAAATGGCAGTCTTTGCAGAACGGGCAGAGACAGATTGTTGGCATCCTGGTTGTTTTGTTTGTGAAGAAGATGGTGACTTCCTTGTAGACCTTGTGTATTGTTGGAGGGAGGGARCTCCTTACTGCTGCAGGCATTGGGCAGAAAAACAAAAGCCACGATGCGCTGGTTGCGAAGAGGTAAGTAAGAGTCACAAAGTCAGTATGCAGGGTTACGGATTTTCAACCCATATTTTATAATTATATATCGGTGTTCTATTATAGTCTTGTTTTTGATGTCGCCTGTACTATTTATTTTATATAGCTGATTTACGTTGGTGAATACTCTCAGGCTGTTGAAAAAAACTGGCATCCGGGGCACTTATGCTGTTCATTCTGTGATGAATCGCTATCAGGTCAAAAGTTTGTAACKGTAGAGCAGAGACCATCTTGCTTTAAATGTTACGAGTTAAACTTTGCTAACGCGTGCGAAGGTTGCAAGGAACCCATTGGTCCAGGCTCAAAAGATGTCGATGTTCGAAACAAACATTGGCATGAGGACTGCTTCAAGTGTTCTCAGTGCCAAAAACAACTAGTAAGTAAACTTACATTTGTGAARGATGAATGTTTACGTGCAACGACTAACTCAGGCAAGATTGCGGGAAAACAGGAGTTCATAACACAAACTTTGATGCCTGTATAAGGTCGTCCGCTCAAGATATGAAAATACATTCGCTAAAGGATGTTCAATTTCTTTCCACAGCTCAACGAAGGATTCACATTCAAAGACGACAAGCTTATTTGTCATGAATGTCGGGGAATCAATCCTTCCAAGGTTTGCGCCAATTGTGGAGGTGATTTCGCACCAGGAGAGAAGAAAGTTGGTTACCAAAATAAAACCTTCCACGATAAGTGTTTTATATGTGATGAATGCAAGGAACCCATCGGTAGCAAGCAGTTTATCCGAAGAGACGATAAACGACTATGTAATAACTGTTTTGACTCTAAATTCGCAAAGGTACCAAACAATTCTTTGGTTGGTTGGCATGATTCAGTGCATGGTCGGTCTGTCAGTTGGCATTGTCGGTTGGTTGTTGGATGGTTAATCGGTCGGGTTGTATATGACTGAGTGACGAGTGGACATTTTGATTGATTCGTAACGTTGGTTGGCCAGTCGCCAACCATGGCATGGCTTGCTGGCTTGTTGGTTAGTGGGTCGGTTGGTTAGAGGTTTTGTTGGTTGCTTGCTTGCTTGCTTGCTTGCTTGCTTGAATAATTAAAAAAAGGCATTTGGCTAAAGTTCAAACATGATTTTTAATTCTGCAGATTTGCGTTAAATGCAAAGAGATTATCCGCACTTCTTCGGTGCAACACTCCGGCAATACCTACCACAGTGAATGCTTCACTTGCTTCCACTGCAACAATCCTTTAGCAGGAAAACCTTTCACCAAGCAAGAAGGGAACAACGTCTGTCAAGGATGCTATCGGGAACGTTATGCCAAACGTTGTGGAGCTTGCGAAAACCTTATCGAAGGAAATACCAAGTTTGTGGCCTACGCGGAGAAGTACTATCATCGTGATTGCTTCACSTGCAGCAAATGTGGCAAAGCTCTGGCTGGGGAAAAATTCCGCATTAGAAATGAAGAAAAAGTCTGTCTTACATGTGATGAGTGAATGGAAAGCAACATACTTCAGAGACTCATAGGATATTCTATGGTAATTCTAATTAAAGTGAAGTGCGTATGTTAGATTGAGAAAAAATTGAAATGTCATTACATTTCACTAGTAAATTATTTGAACATCTTCAAGATGGTTATAATGCCCTTAGGCGCGTTAAAGAGGCTCCGCCGATTTGTGAAGTGTACAGAATGGAATGAGTGGYACAGCCACCCCTTCAGCAAGCCCAAGCTTGAGATGCACTTCATGTATGGAACATGATTTGAGGAGAAGACCTTKCCAAAAACGCAGTATTCATATAAAAAGGGTGCTTCATTCCATKCATGTATTGAAAAGAAGCAACATACATATATTGCTGAAATCGAGCTTTGTCTACCTCGGGTGTCAACTATTGCTCAAAAGAAATCTATAAAATACAAAGAGTTCTGATTGTAAGTAGATAGTTTTTCAAAATTGCTTTGTAAGAGAAATAACTTAGCGTAATTTTGACTACACAATTGGTTTTTATAAAAAAAATATAATTCCTATAAGGCAAAGAAAGTAGCCTAGATCACGTGRTTTTTAGAAACCGATTTCAGAATAATTTTACAGCAATGTCCTAAATAATTGTAGTCATATCGATAAATTACAAAGATATAGTAATGAAATTAACCAAGTTGTTGTGTTTCCTTACTCACTCCCTCTTCTCCCTCCCCCCCCCCAAAAAAAAAACACCCAAGTAAAACGGGACAAGCTTATTGTGTAATAGGCATTTTAATTATATTATATTTATTTTTGTGTTATTATACGCTCAAAATATATAAAATGTTGAGTGGTAGCGCTCAGTAGAANCCCCCCCCCCCCCCCAAAAAAAAAACATGATTTTTTTTCCCGCTGCCCCGACAACATCCATAAAATTCCGTAGGGCGAAGATCAAGGAACATTAAATGCTTCCTCAGTCAACACCCAAATAAAACGGGACAAGCTTATTGTGTAATAGGCATTTTAATTATATTATATTTATTTTTGTGTTATTATACGCTCAAAATATATAAAATGTTGAGTGGTAGCGCTCAGTAGAAGGGTGTCCAGTATCATTACGGAGGGTAACCCCCAGGATCCGTCCCTAATTACAATGATTCCCAGTCTCATTCACCGAGTAAACCTATATTCTTTCGTAATAGACTAATATAATGCGAATTTATGCATAGGAAATAAACTACCACTTGAACAAGCAACTCTACGAGAGACAGTTTCATCTATAATTTGAATTATGAGATAAGGTACAGTCAGTAAGCGTGGGCGAAGAAAACCCCCMMSRA